AAATATAATCCATTGTAACTTAAGTGGATGCAACGTGTTCATTGTGTGTTATAAATCATCATACTCTTAAGTATTATAATACATTAAAACTGTTCTTATGATTATTTATAAGATGATGCAACATATTATAAGGTTTCTTATAATGCATTATTCATTCCTTATAATGCTTTAAGAATAACCTTATAATGTATTATAAATACTGTCAGACTTTGTTCCATGTCTTGTGTGTGTTTTGCTCCTCATGTGCCCTCTTTGCCCATATTTGGTTAGTTTCTTGTCCCTGTCCTGATTATGTTGATTTAATTCCAGGTGTTCCCCGTTTATTTCCATTGAGTGAGTTTTCCTTGTTATAATTAAAATTATCTGGATTGATGTATTCCTCGTCTCCCTCCGTTCCTTGCTCCTCACTCCACTCAGTAGTGCAACCGTGACAAATACAGGTTTCATAGAAAGTGTTACTGTCAATCCTTCTATTAAAATCTTCCACTTCACTGAAATAGATATCAGAGGAAATATCAGTAACAAAAGGTGCACTGGGCATTGTGCAGAAATAATTCATATTCTACTCTGACCTGTAATGATAATCCGGACCAGAAAGGAAGACCTGCTCAGCCTCCTGCAATGAGAAATTCCGCAGGACAGCCAGGGCATATATGATGGCCTATGAAAAAAAAACAGTTCAGTTAAGTATACTATTATAGCACTACTGAACAGCAAGCCATTATACATTGGTCCATACACCAGCATGCAGTTTATACAGTAGATTCTGTAAGTGCAGGACACTCACAAACACATTACATGGTCAGGTATACCTCTGGAAAAAGAGCACCACAGATGAACTGCACTTCATCTGTGAAGCTCAGTTGTGTTGGTGTCCTATGCAGCACTCCTCTCAGATAGGCAAAAAGGACAGTTGTTCCTCACTGTCGAGGTAGACAGGCACTCAGGAAGAGGTTAGCTTATGAGACCACTTAGAGGGCTTCCCGTTGAGTACACCCTATGGGCAAACCATGGTGCAAAAACAGTTATTTTGAGGAAATTGATACATTTAAGATAAAGATACAATAATTTGCAGCAGAGTTAAAATATATTGTTAATGTTACTTCTAATTAAGGCCCTTGGTGAATCTTTACTATGAATTTGTTTGTAATGATGTGTCACGTTGCACACACAAACGAGGGACGAGGAGACGCTGGAGAATATGTTGACAAGACTTTATTCCTCTGCGGTGCGGTCATCGACAGCCTTAATGTGGATTTTCTCAGAGATAGCACTCTAGACCGGCTGAAGAGTTCCTTGATGCAAGATTCTGGCCTCATCAGTCCAGAAGGCAAACCGCTGACCATGCCTTTCAAACATCAGCAAGATTAATCTAAAGTACTGCCAAAACGACAGCCTAATAACACAGACTGTGGTGCAACCAAGCAGTGAGCCCAGTTTAATTATGAAAGATGATTAATACTCAGCTAATATACTAAAACAATGAGTATCAAACAAGTTTTCACACTAATACAGTAACCTACATGTAAATCTTACACATCTCGCATCACCATGCTTTTATCATCTTTTTTAAGTTTAATTAATGTGCTGGCTAGATTTACTTATTATAGTCATTATGTCAACAAGGTTTAGCTTAATTAAAGTATGGCTACGAATTAAGAACATTGTAATAATCAATAAAACTAGCATTTGAGAATTAATTATTATTTCTTAGCAGTTCTCACGTTGGCTACGTAAACTTTGCATCGTTTTAAGGTTATAAAATAAAACTTAATTGAAAATCTGTAAAGTTACTCACTCTGATTGCTGTTCATGTCGTCCATCTTTAGTGATCCAATTCAGTAGGTGGCGCTGTTACAAAATAATAGGGTCCTAGAACTGTGGTCCTGAAACTGCAGCCTCCGGTTGTGCAGGAACCTACTATTATGACCTCAAACAGACCGACCAAATAAGCCTCGCTAGTCTCCTGCAGCGCCATGACAGCAGAGCTCTGGAAACGCAGATCCGTCTTGAAATCTTGAGCGATTTCTCTCACCAGACACTGTAAGGGCAGTTTGCGAATCAGCAGTTTAGTGGATTTCTGATAACGGCGAATCTCTCTCAAAGCTACAGTACCGGGCCTGTAACGATGAGGCTTCTTAACGCCACCAGTAGCCGGAGCGCTTTTACGAGAGGCTTTAGTTGCCAGCTGTTTTCTCTGAGCTTTACCTCCGGTGGATTTACGAACAGTTTGCTTGGTTCTTGCCATTACTTAGAAAAGAGTCGTTGCTGTTAGATACGACCCTAAAAAAATTATAAATGCTATGCCCAATTCAAAACAGACTTATTTAAGCCCAGGGCTGTCATGTGCTGATTGGACGGCGTAGCTTCAAGCCATTTGATTGGTTATTGTCTGGCGTCTCGAAATAACAGCTGGCCAATGGCTGAGCGTAATATGTTTTCAAACTAATTGTGGTTCCCGCCCAATAGAATAGTGAAACAAAAAACTTACACCTAAACAGCACGATGTGTATTTTATTTACTTGTATGTATGCTTTAATGTATCTTGTTTTTTTTTTAGCCATGCCAATAAAGACATAGCTACATACATTCATTACAACCTTAACAGTGCGACTGGATTAGAATCTAATACGGTTGCTTCCATTGAAATTGTTTTGATACTATGTGCTTTTTTATTCCGTTTTAACAAATGATAAGTGTAAAGTCCTTAAACTAAAATGTGCTTGCGCATTTATTTTTAAATCACATACACTTTTATAAAAAAATGACTGGATGAAGAAAATCACTCTCGCAGAGAAAGTGTGTGGCTCTTAAGGGTGAGGTAAGCAATTTTTCAAAAATGCTTTATAAAACTGATTCAGGCCGAATAGCAAAACAAATTTTTAGCTGCGACAAAGCGACCGTTGAAAATCATTTGAAATTTGTGTCAATATGTCATAAATAGAACGCAGCAGCAGTTTTCTGTCGGGGATGTGTCGTGTTGTGCCGCACCACATCCAGTGTAGACCATAGATATGTATATATACTGTATATCTATGGTGTAGAGGGCATGACTGATTATAATGAGTTCCATAGTATTTTGTCGCACCGCGCCACTCGCGTCCAGTGTAGACACGGTGTAACATTGGTTTTGCTTTGTTTCACAGAACTAATCGTTGCCTGGGTTGCGTACGTATGTGTGGGGCGGAGCTATCAAAATAGGGGCGAGACCCTTTTGGGGTAGGGGTGTGTTTGTTTTGGTGATTTCAAATGTCAACATTGGCTACAAGAAATCGCTTACCCCACCTTTAAAATAGCCTTTGGTTTGAAGAGAAAATTCACTCAGTTTACTTGGTCTTGGCTGGTTTCTCGGTTTTCTTAAGCAGCAGCACGGCCTGAATGTTGGGCAGCACACCGCCCTGAGTGATGGTCACGCCACCCAGAAGCTTGTTCAGCTCCTCATCATTGCGCACCGCCAGCTGCAGGTGACGGGGAATGATATGGGTCTTCTTGTTGTCCCAAGCGGCGTTTCCAGCCAACTCCAGGATCTCAGCAGTAAGATACTCGAGCACAGCGACCAAATACACCGGAGCCCCGGCACCGACGCGCTCGACATAGTGGCCTTTGCGGTGAAGCCTGTGAACACGGCCGACGGGGAAATGCAGTCCAGCTCTGGAGGAGCGAGTCTTGGCTTTAGAGCGAGCCTTTCCGGTTTTGCCTCTTCCACTCATTGTACTTGAAAACTGTTCTTTGACCACGCAGCGTAACAATTAACTGTTCTATAGTTCTGTCAGGACCACTATCGTCAAAGATAACTTACAATTAGCATACATTTTAGGTTGGGGGTATGGTTCTGTTCTGGGCAACACTCCCTGCCCATCCATGCAGCCTAGCATGGATAGGAGCAGGGATAGCATAAATAACACCCCTAGGGTAAACTGAACAGAACCAAAATTAATGATTAATGTAGCAGATATCATCAATGTTCTAAGTGATTATTTTATATATCAACATAATTCAGTGGTCTGACTCAAGAACTAATATCCAATGCCAAGTTCTGACTGGATGAGAGGAGGAGTTGGGGATGTAGGTGGGTGATTAGCTCTTGAGCAAAGCGATAGCTGCTGAATAATGACTAAAAGGACCTTATAAAGGGAATTATGATTGGCGTCGTATTCCTATAGGTAGACGTGGATCAGCTGAGTGTCAGCTCTAACGCTATGCTCCATTTCTGTCAGGACTACTATCGTCAAAGATAACTTACAATTAGCAGACATTTTAGGTTGGGGGCATGGTTCTGTTCTGGGCAACACTCCCTGCCCATCCATGCAGCCTAGCATGGATAGGAGCAGGGAGAGCATAAATAACCCCCCAAAACAAAACCATATGCTGACAGCAATCTAACTGAAAATGCCTTACGGAAGGAGAGTGGCGGCGAAGGGGTGCTCTTCTTTATAAGCAGCTAAGAAGAGCAGCAATCCCCTTACCGGAGGAGTGTAGCAGCGAAGGGGTGCTCTTCTTTATAAGCTGCTAAGAAGAGCAGCAAGCCCCTTACTGGAGGAGTGTAGCAGTGAAGGGGTGCTCTTCTTTATAAGCAGCAAGCACCTTTAATGTAGTACCTGAAAAAGTTAAAAGATGCAGAAAACCCACTAGAATTGCAGCCTAGTTTGCCAGTTTGCAGCAAACACATCGACTGCAGCCGTAGAAGCGAGCAAATTAACTGGTTCAGAGATTGCAGATTCTACCTGGCCTAAAGCTTTAGCATCCTTTTAAAAACTCTATAAAAACAGCATATAACTCAATAATCAACTCATGAGTTTACAGGTTTGTCGCCTCCCATTGACATTTGCGCTCATTGTGATACAAGTCCTCAATCTGATAACCCGCGTGAGTATAGACAAAATTCCTTACCAATACAATCTGATAACCCGCATGAGTATAGACAAAATTCCTTACCAATACACTCGATAGCTTTTTGCAACAAGCATGTTGCTTGCTTAATCACAGCATGTTGCAGTGGTCAGAGAAACCTAAAGAAATATAATTCCCAATAACGAGATAAGCAGCCATAAGCAGCAAGCATATTTCAAGAACAATTAGATGGCCTTAAACAACAGCTTAAACATTAGCTTCTTGCTGTTGCAAGTTTACCTGGATACCAGCACTTGCAGTAACAACCAATAGCTTAAAGCAACAAGCAGGTCTAGCAACAAACATGACACCAGATAAGCCTTAACATGCAAGCAAAATCCCAATAGCTTTAAAGCAAAAACTTTTTGAAATAGCATAGACTGGGGCAGCATGCCCTTACAGAAGAAGAGAAGCAGCGAAGGGGTGCTCTTCTTTAATAAGCAGCTGAGAAGAGCAGCATGCCCCTTTAATGCAGTACAGCATAAGGTCAATACTCGAAATTTAGGCAACAGGCATGTTGCCCTTATCCAGATAAACGTTTGCATTAATAACCTTATATTATTATTTCAATATTTCATATCCGACAGCCTTAAACAGCAGATTTAAAACCAGGCTCGCTGTGGTAAGTTTAACTGGGTAATGTTACCAGCGTGTCAAAATACAACAGCATGCCTAGCAAACATGTTACTGAACAACTAGCCTTAAACAATGAGCAATATTTGACGATAGCATATTTGCCAACATAGCATTAGGCAATGAGAATGAAATAGGGCTGTGCGATATTGAAGAAAAATGCGATATGCGATACCTTGTTTAAAAATGCGATATGCGATATGATATTGCTTAAAGTGTGTAAAATCAATTTCAATTATATTTTTAAATATTTAAAAATGAAAATTATATAACCAATTTGTTTCACATTCTTTCTTGGAAAAGAAAGAATCACTACAACTTCTGAAAGTGACCAGCAGTGTTTTATCAGTACATAAAAAGTAATGTCACAAATCAGAAAATGTCATTTTAACATCAGTGTGAACATACAAACAAAAAAATTAATGACACAAATTTTATGTCATTGTAACTTTGCTTTCCATACACTTTAAGTACTTATTCATATACCACAGCAAAAACTATAGTCTGAGAAAGTTCAAACATGATTAAAGGTAAGTGAACAGTCAG